TTCAAAGACTAATTGAAATTATTTCACAACACGAGCTATATCTCAATCACAATATATATGAAGTCAATAATTTAAAAAAGTAAAAAATAAAATAGAATACCTATGTGAAAGATGATATTCATCTATAGTAATTACATGAGACTATCAACCAGTAAAGATCGAAAACTTGAGATAAGTAGTTTTTTCAGTCATGGGGATCTCAGAGTATGAAAATTTTTTAGTTGTTAAATCCACGCAACTCAGTTCGCTGAAGCGCACCAGTTCTCTTGGACTGGATCATTACAAATTAGCTAAAAAGTATTATAATTATCAATATTTTATCTCTCAGTCACTATTTTTTCTATTCACATCTTTCAAGTGAGTTTTATTGTGGGATACCTCAAATATTGCAGTAATGGTACAATCGACTTGATGGTTATGACCGTAGTACATGCATACCTAGTGTTGTTTTCGTCTGTACAATAATTATTGCTTTGCTTGTGTATCTAGGTCTTTGTGCATATTTTTATTTCTGCATGATCACCTGTTGTTTCTGTGCTTATTCGCCTCTATTTTAAAACTGCTGAGATATTTACAGGAAACACTTCAAACGTTGAGTGACAAGTATGAGTCATCCTCAAAACGATTGCTGTTATACAGGGTGGGGCATCGAAAACGAAACAGATCGAATATCTTCAAAATACATCTGTTCTGAAAAAAATGCAAAAACACGTCGATTTTTAATCCAAGGGAGATATCTTTCTATCATAACCTCAAGTGTCATACCTCTTCCCCCTCCCCTCGGTAACTATCACCAAAACAATTTGAATAGGGAAAGTAGTAAGTGTGACATATCGTTAAAAAAGTAATTTCATAAGGAATTCACCCATGTCAATTTTAGCTACCTAACTTTCGATTTTGGGGCCTTCTTGCGGGAAAAAAAACTGTACCATATTCCAAATTTTGATACTTCATTCGCAAGCTAATTTGACATAAATTCAGTGACAATGCATTATGGAGTTTTTCTAGGGGAAAAACAAGATGGCGGCTTCATAATGGCGGACAAGATTTGCAATTATGGTCCGATTTGATTCAAAATTGATAAGTGGTGGTTTTCAGGGTCGAAAATTATGAATTGTTTTCCAATGCAAAAAATCAAGATGGTGGCACCAAAATGGCGGACGAAACTTGTAATTATGGTTCGATTTAACTCGACACCAAAAACGAATTCTTCAAAACACGTGTGTTATGAACATAATGCAAAAACGCGTCAATTTTAAATCCAAGGGGGACAAATCCTATCGTTACCTCAACTGTCATACTTCTCTTCCCACCCCTTGGTCACTTATACAATTTGATTAGGGAAAGTACTAAGTGTGACACAGCATTGAAAAGGTAATTCCATAAGGAATTCAAACATGTGAGTGTTCGCTACTTAACTTTTCATTTTGGCGCTCTATTGCAGGAAAAACAACTGTTTCGTTTTCAATTCACATTCTGTTTGATAGGTAGTGCGAACAATTCACGAAAAAAGAACAACAATTGAAAAAATAACATAATCCAATCATCGCAAACCACTTTAATTCACAGTAGATGATCAAAGTGTTCGCCATGAACTGCCATAAATAATGAGTATAAGTTATTCTCGAAACGCCGTCTGACATTTTTGAGCATTTCTGAAGTTATTTGATGACATTCGTACCTTTGGAATAACAATTGACTTACTAGGCCTATGTATTGGTATAATAAAAAACTTTGGATTTGAAATTGACGTGTTTTTGCATTATGTTCACAACACATGCGTTTTGAAGAATTCGTTTTCGGTGTCGGGTTGCATCGAACCATAATTACAAATTTCGTCCGCCATTTTGGAGCCACCTTCTTAATTTTTTGCGATGAAAAACAATTCATAATTTCCGACCCTGAAAACCACCACTTATCAATTTTGAATCAAATCGGACCATAATTGCAAATCTTGTCCGCCATTGTGAAGCCGCCATCTTGTTTTTTCCCCTAGAAAAACTCCATAATGCATTGTCACCGAATTTATGTCAAATTAGCTTGCGAATGAAGTATCATAATTTGAAATACGGAACAGTTTTTTTTTCCGCAAGAAGGGGCCAAAATCGAAAGTTAGGTAGCTAAAATTGACATAGGTGAATTCCTTATGAAATTACATTTTTAACGATGTGTCACACATACTACTTTGCCTATTCAAATTGTTTGGGTGATAGTCACCGAGGGGTGGGGGAAGAGGTATGACAGTTGAGGTTATGATAGAAAGATGTTCCCCTTGGATTACAAACCGACGTGTTTTTGTATTTTTTTCAGAACACATGTGTTTTGAAGATATTCGATCTGTTTCGTTTTCGGTGCCCCACCCTGTATATGTCTACCACAAGATCCGTAAAGTTGAAATTGATAATGAAGGACACACATCAAACGTTTATTGCAGGTGGATTTGTATAAAATATAGATATCAACATAAGTTACCCCCATTAGATTTAATGGATGTAATGCTTATAAAAAGCCAGTGACTTAGATATTATTAATACTTATATTTTTCGAAGTTTTAGCTCATCTCAGACACAATATGTTCGAATTGAAAACATATACAAGAACTACTAGTAGGGTCCCTTTCAATTATGAAAAATGCGAGCTGGTCAGTTGTACGAGTAAATAATAAATTATGTAGGACTCACAATACAACTACTAAAGTTCAAATTGAAAGCATTATATTTTTAGGAGAGATCAATTATTGGGAAAGAAAGGTTTTGGCTTTCAACTTCCTTATACAAAAGAAAGTGGGAATCTTTCAAAGAAAGAAAGTAACCAATCAATTTCAAAAAGGTAACTTAATACGTTCAGACACAAACTGGAAGAAAAAGCCCTTTCGAAACAGCTACCTACTTCCATATAAAAGAATACTTTCGAAACAAATGATTTTATTAGAACACTGAATCATCCAAAAAAAACCTTTAACTATTCGGTTCGTATTCCAAACATTCTTTATGGAATTGAACCAGGTATCATTCACATGATTCCTACACAATATAGTAAATGAAAGAGGTAAAATTTCACTTAGATGGAACAATGTCATCCTCACTGGTAGACACCCGATGTTTCGCCATAAACCACTTGCCTTATCGGCTCTTCGGTACCAAATCTGAATAACATTGTAAGAAAAAACAATCAATTCATTCATAAAATTACGACTTCATATCACGAATGAGTCTGAACTATGACGGTACGTAATGACAGTCACTCGCGTATTTGATTAAATTCCAGTCATAAGAATCTTGTTCAAATTGAAAGGGGTATATTTTTAGGAGAGATTAATTTTTGGGAGAAAAGGTTTTGGCTTTCTACTTCTCCATCTTTATACAAAAGAATGTAGAAATCTTCCAAAGAAATGAAGGGAGAAATCAATTTCAAAAAGGTAACTCTATAGAAAGATGTGTAGATGAAGAAGTAGAATGCCAAAACCTTTTCCTAAAAGCTACAAATAAATTTTGTTCAACCTAACCTTCTGCTGCCTGAAATTTTGATGCCAGATTCATAATAATGACAATTTTTACAAGATCTTCCATTTCAATCATCAATGAAGTCTTCATTTCAGTCAGAGAAATAAAGGAAAATTAGCTCCATTCTTTCAAAGAAGAACTCCTTCCTCACTGTCTTGAATAACCTCATGACCTGACTCCTACGCCAAGATTACTTGATGTTTCCTTATCTTAGAGATTATTTGTAACCCCAAATCAGACACGATGGATGACTCTTTCGATGGATTTCTGTGACAAATTCATGATTATATAAATGAATTCCAAAATCGCTGATATTGACATGGATCTTAGTGAAATTTTTCATAATCTTAGTCTATCTGCACGTATTTCTCACGGTGTCATATATACTCTCTAGTATTTGTCAGCGGTTGCATTAGTGATGGGCTTTATGCACATCGGTCAGACTTCATTTTTTGAGATGAATTATTGTTAGGTTTTAAAAAAACAAAAATATATACGAAGTAAGTTATTTTGTGACAATTTTCAATATGCAAAAATATAATAACCAATGGAAATTGCATTGTATACATTCGAATATGTTTCAAATATATAATTTCAGTATCTTCCAATTTTTATGAACAAACTTTGTATGTTCTGAATAAAAGAAACAATTATTTTGGAATTATAAAGTGTAATATGCCACCTCGCAAAACCTATCAACGATGTAGCGTGTTTGCTGGGGAGTCTTTTCTATGACTTTTCATGATTGTTTTTGGTGTCGTTGGCATCAACTGCTCAGTGTTGACAACCTTTGAGCACATTTTTTCAAAACCACGAGCAAAAATTCATTGAACCATCCTAATGCATAAATGGACATTCAGCGACGAATACACATTTTGTCTGAATGGAGAAGTAAACTGATACAACTGTAGGTATTGGTGCCATTGGAATCCTAATACTATCAGGGAAACGAATATTCAGCATCTATAAAACTTCAGTTTTTGGACAGGAATCTTTGAGAACAATCAATCATAGATTTTTCAGGAAATTGGAAAGGTATGCACAATTGAAAATAATGGCCTTTTCAATCTCCGGACTTGATCATACTTGAAGAGTAAGTGCGTGAGTGTTCAGTTGAAATCTAAGGTTTTCGCAAATGAGAGTGATAACTTTGAGTCAAGGCTATATCTTCGTCTGGCAATAAGAATAATTTATCAAGTGGACGATCTGAAAATGTTGGTTAATGGAAAAAACAGATTTCAACTGACATGGTCTGAACATATTTTTGACATATGTCTGGCACACGATCAAAAAATCTAATCCATTTTGGTTTTTCTTGCCAACATTGATGGAGACATAGTTTTTCATAATTTTAAAGTATATCGGTCTCGTTTTGATTCATTTTGTTACTTCCACAAGGATCCCACATTTCAATCGACACATCTGAGAAACAACAAACTATTCATTGTTGTCTATGAAATATACAACAACTTCAATACATTTCTGTTTTTTATATAGGCCCAGTCAGACATCGAGTGGAAATTTGGTCTAAGCAAGCTGATTCGTTCTATGCACAGGACTACTACCGCGCCGTCCCCAATAAATTTAATAACGACATGGTTGTTCTACTTAGTTGACGTTTGTAAGAAACGTGGTAAGTTATCGTCGATATAAAAGTAGTGGCATTCATGTAACGATTGGAAAAACAGATTTCATTTCAGTGAAAACAAGAAAACGTCAGAGTTTGGTACACCTCATGGGGAGCTTTCAAAAAACTACTCAGTTAAGTCCCCGTTCAAAAGCTGGAGCAAAATGGCTGTCTAAAGTCAAGAAAGGTCGGCAGATCGCTCCTAAAGAATCTGTTGCACTTTCCGTAGCACATCTGAGTCCACTCGGCTCACAATTGAGTTTTACAACACATACTACAAGAATCGAGCATGTAACCGATTGGGAAGCCATAGCAAAGAAATACAGAGCACTCATGGGCGAGGTAGATGAAACAAAAGAACAGTCAAATGAAGGAAATGATGAGCAGGATGAAGACGAAGTAGTTCCCAATTCACTTCAAGTACAAAACTCATCTTTCGGTTAGGTAAAAGAATTAACGAATTCGTTACAATTATTTTCTATACTTACCTGAAGGAAATAGGATTTCTACTAAATATGACTGTTATCAATAATGAATAAAAATGTAATCTTTTCATTTGTGTTTAATTCTTTCGTTAAATTAAAAAAATAAACCTTTTCTAAATTTCCTCAAACTATCAACCATCAATCAAAAAACAATACCAAACTCATTCTAATTATTTCTAAATGTTTAAATAACGGTAGGAAGTGGAAAATAACAGGAACACATAAACACGACTATGACATTTATTGAACTCTTCGTCAACTGTCTGTTACAATGTGTGGCGTTGCCAGCTTTACATTAGATGTCGCGACCAACGCAAAATAATACACTACAAAACTATGTTTGTTAGATACAATTCTAACACTAAATGAACTAAAATCTTCCAAAACAAGCCGAACCAAACTTTTGTTAATTGAAGGATCCCTTAAACTCTAGACCAAGAACCTTTCCCCTGAAAAGATGTCAGTACCATGTCAACACTACTGTTCTAAAAAACTAGCACTGTGCCCACTCAAAAGTTGACTTTTGAAAATGTGTTCTCTCTTTTCTTTTAGGGCCCAGAATCAGGTTGGATGTTAATTGATTGAATTTTGCCCACTTTCTTTTCAACTCGTCAAGTTTCTCAATTCATTATTCTCTTATCTTCTTTGAAAGGTTTTCTCTTAAATCAAAGTCCGTGTATATCACGACAAAAACAGATAAATGGCAAACAACACAAAGGTACAAATAATCATTAGCAATAATCATAAATCACACAGTAAACAGCGATTCAACAGCCAAGAAAGGCTGTTGAATCATCGTAACACACAGGCTGAAAAGTCCCGGGCCTAAGAAAGAACGTAATCTCCATCAAGAGCCACACAATCATTCCCGCGTCGCTCCAACATTTCAATACCACTTTTGTAGAACGATTTATCTTTTGCCTCAAAATAGGCCTCCACCGATGAGCATTTTTTTTATGTCTGCGAACATCCAGTAGAAGCTGGGAGCCAAATCTGGCGAATACGGGGGATGTGTCTGTACGACCACGTTTTAAGTCAGCAAATCAACGTTTAATTGTTGTTTCTGATGAGCAGGGTCCTTATTATAACACTTTCCAAGCTATTGCTTCGCTTTAACCGTAAGTGTAAAATTAAAACACGAAATTGTTTTTGATCCATTGTTTTAAAAATAAGAAAATTAGCACTCTTAGCACAACTCACAAACTTATGAATAGAATATCATGAAATTTCAACAGCTTTCTTTTGAAGGTTAGTACTGTACTAACGGATAAAGCGGTGAATCCAACAAGACCAACGCCATCTATGTGTTAGGTCCGAGACTTTTTAGCCTAGGTAGTATATCTATTATTACTACTATAATATACTCCACTCTCACTCCAATATTGAGAAATTAAAGGATACACTTTCATCTGGCGCTATTTGACCGGGAGGCCGAAAAAAAAATAGTTTAGTTTAGACGACTCCAGGTAAATTTCGCTATAGTTTGTACCACCTATTCTAGGAACCCTTTAGTCAACAGGAGAGAGTAGGTAATTGAGTCAGGGTGGGATGGATAAGAAATATATAAATGTCAGTTAAGTAATCGGGACAAGTAAAAACGAGCTCTGCAAAGTACGGAAATCGTATTTAGAAAATGTCAGAATTAGGTACTTTTTAGGTGCTTTTCAGGTACCGAAGTCAAAAATTAGGTGCTCTGTAACTTACCCCGCAACTCAATACTCAAAGTTATGTAATGCTAGCAACGCAATGAAAATAATAATGAAATAATGAATGTTGAGGAAACACAATTAGGTGCTCATTAAGTGCTAAACGGTGAGGATCGTAAAATGTTCTAATTAATAAACAAAAGTTTCCAATTTCGCTAAACAACAGATCTAAAAATCAGGTCTCTCGAAAATGAGGACGAATGCTCAATCAGGTATAAACTAAGCGTGGCAATAAAGTGCTAATTAGGTGCACCTGAGTTCCATAATGCCTATTGACTTTTAAGATCAAAATTTCAGTGGTTGATGTTCTTTATTGGGTTGGTATCCGATTCATTTCGTTGGTGCACGTCTGAGAAAGCTGAAAATAATATATTTCTATGAAAACGTCAAGAATTGAATAAAATAACGTCATTTTACAAAAAACAATTGGAAAGAAAGTCATATCTTTCTTATTTTAAAAACATATCATTTTTTATTAGCGGGCGTTTGCAATATGACTTTTAACTGGTTCGTCTATATTCCATATGAATGGAGTGAGCCAATAAATACAGTCTTTCGCTTACCGTCTACAATTTTTTTTTAAATGTTACAAAAATTCTTTCAGAAGTGCAACTCGATTTCTCAACTCTTTATGGAGGTCACTGAAATTATAATCTTTTCTCTAAATAACACGAAAAAAAATTTTTTTCCGTTTTCTTTCAGTAGAACTATTGATTTTGAATCAAATTTTGAAGCTTTTGTTCTTGTCGGAAATTCAATTCTCATTAAAGAAGCTCTGATTTTTTTTGTCGACTTAACAGATGAAGATATATCAAGCTCTAAAAACCTGCAAGGACAAATATTTTCAATTATTATAGTAAAAAAATAAATAAATGTTTAAGATAATATCTCACACTTCTTATGTTAAATCAAATTGTGGTTATCGGGTCCATAAGCCCCATAGGAATTATGCAATCTAGATTTACCATAAATATCTAATGAGCACCTGATTAACACTTTATTCTCATGTTTTTATTTATTGAGGAACGTACTGTAAGAACTCAGTCCATCAGTCATGGTGATTTTCAGGTCCATGAGCCCCGTAGCAATTATGGAATCTAAGTTTTCTATGAATATCCAATGAGCACCCAATTAACACTTCATACTCTTGCCCTTATTTATTGAGGAACGTTCTATAGGAACTCAGTACATCAGTCATGGTGGTTTTCAGGTCCATGAGCCCCATAGCAATTATGGAATCTAGGTTCACTATAAATATCTAATGAGCACCTAAATTAGCACTTTATTCTCTTGCCATTATTCATTGAGGACTCAGTACATCAGTCATGATGGTTTTCAGGTCCATGAGCCCCATAGCAATTATGGAATCTAGTTTTACTATGAATATCTAGTGAGCACTTAAGTAGAACTTTATTTTGATTGTCTATGTATTAGTTTACGAGTATCTCAAGACTTTATTGCATATTGTTAATTTTTTTCTCAAATAAGGTATCTCGAATTTCTTTTCTGCTTGTTCACGGTCGCTTTCATCTTAATTTCTTGCAAGCACATAATTACCACTTTATTACCACGCTTAGTTTATACCTGATTGAACATTCGTCCTCGTTTTCGAGAGACCTGATTCTTAGATCTTAGATTTCTATACGGTAAGCGAAAGACTGTTTTTATTGGATCATTCCGTTCATATAGACGAACCAGTTAAAAGTCATCTTGTAAACGCCCGCTAATAAAAATGATATGTTTTTAAAATAAGAAAGTTATGACTTTCTTTCCAATTGTTTTTTGTAAAAATGAGGATCAAAACGTTATTTTATTCAATTCTTGACGTTTTCATAGAAATATATTATTTTCAGCTTTCTCAGACGTGCACTAACGAAATGAATCGGATACCAACCCAATAAAGAACATCAACCATGGGAATTTTGATCGCGAAAGTCAATAGGAACTCAGGTGCATCTAATGTTTTTAATGTGCCTAAAGTTTACAACGCAAATGAAGCCTTTAACTTTCGTCCCATAAACACTCTGCCTCCTTTAGAAAAAGTATTAGAGTTAGCTGCTTATAACCAAATATGCACATATATCTGTTTTTCTGTTTTTCCGTTAATCAGTTGTCGCCCCCATACGAACGACAACTCTCAGAAGTTGTGCGAACTAAGGACTAACGAGACAACAACCTTTTGATGGAGTATCAATCAGGTTTTAGATCGCAACACTCATGTGAAACTGCTCTTCAAATCACCTTATCTAAATGGAAACTGTCAATTGATGACAACAAATATGTAGTAGCAGTATTTTTGGATTTCAAAAGAGCGTTCGAAACTATAGATATATCTATTTTGCTATCAAAATTAGAGTACTATGGAATAACTGGTAGGGTGTTGCTATGGTTCAAAAGTTATTTACTCAACAGATCTCAATGTACTTAAATAAACAACGTCCTATCAAGCCAAAAAGCAATTGATACCGGGGTCCCCCAAGGGAGTGTACTTGGCCGTGTTTTATTCATACTTTATTTGAATGACATACATTTTATTATTGACTGTGAATTCATCAACCTCTTTGCAGATGATACTATCATTGCAGCAAGCGACTCTGATATTCATAATGCTGTACGCAAAATTAATTCGACACTTGAGAACGTGGCGAAGTTCTTGAACATAAACAAACTCAAACTGAATACCACTAAAACGAAAGCTATGATTTTGACAACACAATATAAATATAATTTAATTGATATCAACTCCATTAGTATTGAGATCTACGGCGAAACTATAGAAATTGTGAAAGAATTCAAATATTTCTAAAAAATTTTCTTCACTAGAATTAGTAGACAATTAACATTCCAATCTAATTTGACTGTTTATAAAACAAAAATCCTACCACACTTTGAATACTGTGCTACTTTGATATTATTACTAGACGGTAATTCTATCTCTACTCTACAAAAATTACAAAACAGAGGAATGCGCTTGTTATTAAAATGCCATAAATATACTTCTATATTATCAATGATTAATATTCTGAATTGGATGACAGTAAAAGATAGATTACAATATTTTTCTATGATATTCATATTCAAAATACTCACTGGAAAAGCACCACGTTACTTCAATGAGTTTATTACATATAACCATCACAATACACAAATACGATACAAGAGGAAGAGATGACTTGGTTGTCCCACAAACTAACCTTGCAAGAACAATGAATTCTATTTTTCACAGAGGACTCTTGGACTATAAAGTAACACCCTTCAACTCTTCAAACGCTCCTTATCTCAATATCTACGAGCACAATACTATTCCAATTGAGTTGTTCATCATTCTTCTATTAATCTCTTCATCATCTACTACTGCTATG